CCGGGATCCAAACCTGCAAACCCTGGGCTGCCGAAGCAGAGTGCACGAACTTAATCACTACACCACTGGGCCGGTGCATGCATTATACCACTCCTAACTGTTTAACTAAATTTTGATAATATAGCCTATTTAAAATGGAAAAATAAAATAGTATCATCAAATTTTGAGCTATAGATTCAGAATTAAAGGAATAATCTAGAAGAATCCCAGTCCAGTATTGGCACTATTATCCTTACTTTCCTGAAAAAATTCTGATCATATAAATGGAGGACTGTGTTTCATATTGTTTTATATCTTATATGAGTCAATTCATTTTCAGATATTCCATGAATAGTTTCAAAATGGAAGAATTGGGAAATTTATAATCCCAGATCACTGATGAATCCTTGTCACAGGCTTGCTCATCAGTACACAGGACATTTGAGTGAGAAGCTTAGTGTTAGAGGGCAAAACTTCTGTGGTATAATTCTTGGCTTAACTGGAAGAAGCCATCTTCATGGTGTTATATTTACTCATATGTTACAGTGTGTTTGTTTCCTCATTCACAAACATATATTGAGCACCTACTGTATCCCAGGTACCAAAGACTTAAAGATGATTAAGGTAAAATTCTCGTCCCCAAGATCCTTAGATTCTAGTTGAGGAACAGACATGTTTATAACTCAAGGCAGAGAAGTTCAACAATATAGTATTGAACAGAGTGGAGAGGGAGATTTCTTTTTCTATGCCAGATTGTGCTTCATTCTGAGATCTGGTTTCTGGCTACTTCATTCTTGAATTTGTACAATGTTTTGCATACCAGTGTTTGCTACTCCCACCCCTACCCATTCAATATGAATTAATCGTGTGGATGTCAGCCACAGGAAAACTTTAATGATGGCTGCAGAATTTAATATTCTCTTTGGCCTTAATACTTTTCATTCTGTTGGGTTCTAAGATCTCTTGGTGTAAGGAAATGCCTTAAGACTTAGCCTACATATATATCAGTCTCCAATAATAAATCATGTACATAATGATCATCTATGTGATTAAATCATCTACATGTAAATAGTCACCCAAAAGAACCAATGTAAATTAGCATTCATTTAACCGTACCCAGATTACTCGAATTCCTCAGATCCCACAATCTCATTTCTAACACATCTCTCTAATGGAAAGAGTGAAGGAAAACAGGCCATGGAATTTCCTGACAGGTGACACATCTCAGTAAAGAGAAGATTCATGTCTCAGCATCTATTCTAAGAGCTTATCATAATTGGAATGAAATGCGTGATCGTATGTCGAGCAGCACATCACATATTAGGAAAGTGCCCATCAGGGTCTAGGACTTGGTGGAACTAAGTAATACTGCTCATATATGAAGAATGAAAAATGGAGCCACATAGTTCTTTATTGTGTCATTCATAGGATCCCAGCAGTGGGCTAGTCATAATTCCATTGTAGTAACAGTTGTAATGAGCTTTTAATTGCATATTCTAACTCTGGGATAAAATATTTGTTACGTTAACAACAAAGTGTAATCCTGTATTTTTAAAAGTTTTTTTCTTAATCTAAATGAAAAATTTTCATTGTTCATAATTTAGAAATTAGAAAAACATAAAGAAGAAAGTAAAAATCACCTCTCTGAAGTCCCATAGATAATAATTATTAACATTTTGGGATATTTACACTCAACATTTTTCTAAATAGAAGAGTAGAAATACACAGACACACACACATACATACATACATAGATGTATTTTTTATAAAACTAGATTTATATGTACATACAAAAATAAAAATATTTTTTACTTAATATTATATCATGAATATCTTCCATATTATTATTTTTGAAAATATAATTTAATGAGGGTGCATGGCATTCCTTAATCTGGTTATACTATGATTTATTAAACATCCTTGATACCTTAAATATTTTTAAGAGTCTGACAAAAAATATATTTTACATATAAATATATTAAATATGTATGAACATATTTATAAAATATGTAAATATATTTATAGAATTTACATTATTTCATATTATACATTTATATAATATACAAATTATTTATTTACATGATTAATCATTTAAGTTAATCATTCCCCTATTGTTAGACACTACATATTTTACTGTTAGAAATAATGCTGTGATAACCATACTTATATTCTTAAACACATGGGGATCCCAGGTCCCAATGTATATATGTTTATTAAGACGCTTGATGCATCTGGCCAAATTGCTTTCCAGACAGGGATCCAGCTCATACTTCCACACCAGCAGTCTGTAAGAATGCCCGTCTTACTGCATTGTCTCCATTTTTAATCCCTTCCAATTTTATAAGTGAGAAATTATACCTGATTTTGTTTTACCTTTTTGATTAATAAAGAGGATATATTTAATACCAAATTTATCTTTCTGTTAATAAAAGTAATATATGCCTTACTCTAAAAACTTCAAAGACACTACAATTAAAAAGAAGACAATAAAAATCACCTATAATCTCACTAGTTGGAGATGATTGTCATTAGCATTTTTACCTGATGATCATTTTGAAATGTTTATTGACTATTTGTACTGTGTGTGCATGCGTGTGAATTTTCTGTTCATGGCCTTTGGCCATTCTTCTCTCGAGGAATTATTGTTTTTTAATTGAATTCTAATACCTATTAAAGAGTACACCCACTGTCTGTCATATTTGTTATTAATATTTATTCCATTCGTTACCTACTTTTAAAATATCTTTTGATGTCCAGAAGGTTTTCTTTTGTGTATAGTCAAATCTACCAAACTTTTTCTTTGAATTCTGTATCCCTTGTTTTTATGTGTAGAATCTTCTTCCATACTCAAGTGCTAGTAAATAGTCATATGTGTCTTTTATAGTTGGTTTTCATGATTTAATTTTTTATTTAACTTTTTTTTTTTTAATTTTTTGTTTATTGCAGTAACATTGGTTTACAACATTGTAAAAATTTCAGGTGTACATCACTACACCTCCACTTCTGCACAGATTACATCATGTTCACCACCAAAACACCAACTACAACCCATCACCACACACATGTACCGAACCATCCCCTTCACCCCCCTCCCTCCCCCCCTC